GACTTATTATAGGTGTTCAATCCGAACAAGAGATACTTAAGGTGTCTAAATGAAAATAGTGATAACTTTAGGTGTTTAATTATCTATTCAGCCAACATATATGTACCTTGAGTCTCATTAAAAGGGACCAATCTGAAAAAATTTAACTTAAAAAAAGGGAGCCAATCTGATTGAATAGTAAAAATCATATTCTATGACGAATAATATATTTCTTCCCTTAGCTGCAAAACACACCTACTTCATCGGCTCAGTGCTACTACGCCCTTTCTCCTCTGTAAAAAATCGCTTTTCCAAGCAGCCCAAGTCTCTTTCCTACAGACCCAATTGGCTAAACTCGTAAAATTCTCTTTCATTATCTGTCCTAATTTTGCAAATTTATGCTTATAACTTTGTATAGTACTGTAAATTACATTCAGATAGCACTTATTGAAGCCTAATTAATTTTTTTTTGCAAGTTTTCATTTTGCAGAAATGTGTTACTTTGAATTTGTGCATATTTTGTTTCATATGGTACAAAGATCGGATTTATACTTTGATAAGTATTACTCCCTCAGTCTGAATTTATGTAGCGATGTTTGACCAGCCACGAAGTTAAAAATAAGACTTTTGAAACTTGTGATCTAAAATAAGTTATAAAGATGTGTGTGGCTAGAAATAATCTCATTTAGGGTAATTTGAGATGTTTAAGTTAAATTATCATTCATTTTTAGATATATGGAGTTAATGAGAGAAATAAGACTTTTGAAATTTGTGATCTAAAAAAAATTAGACTTTGTGGCTATACATTTTCTCAGTAAAGGTAAACTGAAAAGTTTAAAGTTAAATTGAATTCTAAATATATAATTGGGTCTATTTTTTTGGGACAAACTAGAAAAGAAAGGATGTTACATTTTATGTGACAGTGGGAGTAAAAAAGATAAAAACTTTATCCGTATTATTAAAAAAAGTAAATACTTTATCTGTTCTATTAAAAAAAACCACTTTATTTGTTCTAGTATGACATTTACAATTGACCATTTTGCTTATATGAATTAACTAAGAAGTGTATATTGTTGCTTGTTAGTGAGGATACATATAGCTATAGCTGAACTTAACTTGTTTCGAACTAAAGGGTAGTTGTTATATATTGATGTTAGTCTTTCGAAATCAAATACAACTATTCATTGACCTTAGCATATTGTAGGCGTTTGTTTTTAAGAATTTTTTCTTTTCAATATGCATGGGCGAGTATACTGGGTTTGTTGTTGTTGTTGTTGTTGTTGTAATATGCATGGCGAGTATTTGCTAAATGTGCCATCCAAGAAGGAAATTACAACAATGAAATTTCGAGCAAGTGTTGATTCTTGTGAACTGCTTCTGAAGGTCTTAGTTTAACTTGAAGCAAGTTGTACATTAGCCAAAAAAGGATACAAAAAAGAGAGTGAAAAAGGAAGTTCCATTTATCCAATGCATAGTGGGAAAAGAAGATTCACTTCATGTGGTATTTAGTTATTTGTTTGACTTTCTTTAGACCCCAATGACCAGTCAGGAATTTTACCAAGTGGATATTCAAAAAAGGCTCTGCCACTGTCGATGACGGGTCTCAAAACTTGCCCCATTTTTGGTCATTTGAACTTTCATTAATCCAACTTCAGATACTTGTTTGTTTGTTTCATAGTCAGTTACCCAATCTTTTCATGACAATATGTAAACTGTCAAGATGAAAAATGTACACTCTCTTCTTCTGTATGTATCAACGCTAGGGATGGGTGAAGAGGGGGTCTATGCTTTCATATTTGTTTTCTTGAATGGTCCCTTTTTTATGTTATTTTCTAGACGAAGTTTCTCAGATTTCTCCACAATGAACAATGTAAGAGCCGGCTCCCAGAAAGAATTTCCTTTGGGGTTGGATGCAAGTACTGAGGAAGAATACTCTTCTCAATCTAGTTTGCTCCAAGATTTCACTAGCATCCCCACCATTGATAAGGCATGGACTTTCACATCTGATGGTGGTATGATTTCTTTAATTCTTCATTCGCTTTGTTTGGTAGATAAAAAACTGATGTAGTTCTAGTTAAATTATTGCATTCCCACTTAATATATTTCTTTATTCTTTAACTGCTGCTAGATCATAACTATTTTTTTTGTTTACTTTTCACTGCACAAGAAGGTTCCCAGGGTATGTTCTCGATAAGCCAACCAAATCTCCTAGCCAACAAGAAGAGAAGATACATATTATCTTGTCATATTTCAAAAGAAAGTTCAGATGGTGTGGACTTTCAATGGGCTGCATTTCCTATTGAGATGTCCAATGTTTCTGTGATGATCCCATCACCTTCAGGTTCAAAGCTTCTTGTAGTTCGAAATCCTGAAAATGATTCTCTGACCAAATTTGAAATTTGGGGTCAATCTCTGGTGGAAAAGGAGTTTTTGGTTCCTGCCTCTGTCCATGGCTCCGTATATTCAGATGGATGGTAAGTTATTATATGAACACTTAACTTTACTTACTTCACTTCCGGATTCACATACTCAGTGTGCATTAATATTTGATAATGCAGGTTTGAGGGAATATCGTGGAACA